CTAAAGAAATTATTCAAAAAACATTCTAATATATGCAATAATGAATATAAATAAAAATATATATATATATATTCATGCAATAATGCAGTTGAATGGCACATTCAATTTATCAGAGATTACATAAAATATAATATTTATGTTGATATTGTAATATAGATGTGCATAGAACTGAAATGAATACATTAAAACGATTTTAAGGTAAACAGACGTTAATGTTTCTTTAAATTCACTTCGACTAATCTGATGTATAAGAAGAGTTTTTCTTTAGTTTTTAAACCAATTACTATGAAAGTGAATGTCCAAATATTTATACAGACAGATCCAAATTAAATGTTGGCTTTTCCCCATAATAGTGTTGGCTTGGGATTTTCTCTCTAAACTATTTGCCTTATTTACCTCTGTAATAAATTCTATCACAAGCTCTGACAACGAAATTACTTCTATTTTGAGATTATTTAAGTAATTGCTTAAAGTAAAATTCTCAGTCACCGTAACTGAATTCTTAACTTAAAATATCATGAATAATTAGAAAATAAAATAGTTCTTTCGCAAAGTCTAGTTATTATAATCTGAATATCGTACATACAAAAAAAATATATCAAATGCAGATCTTTAACAAAGACAGCATATATGTTGCAAACATATATCTTAACCTGCGCAGTAAAATACTTAATCTTGCAAAGTAAAACTAAACCTGATTTTAAAATGAAATTTAGAATTATTTAGAATCAAATTTTTGGTATTGCTGTCCATCACTTTAAAACTTGTAAAGAATTAAATACTAGTTTATTTTCCAAATAATGATTCATAAATCATTTTTTTTAATATTTTTTTTTTACTTTTTTGTAAGAAAATTAAGGTGAAGAAATATTAAATGAAACTGTGCTTTCTATAGCACATTATTGTTTTATATATTTATTTTTGAGAAAATCAGTTATATATAAGAGTTTTAAAAACAGACATCCACTTGCATTATTGTTCGTGTCTTTATTATATAGTGTTTTACACTTTTGCAATGGTTTCGTCTTCAAAAAAATTATTGCTTCTTTGTTTTCTTTTATTTTGGATACACAAATGAAAAGTATTCAATATAGCAGAAACATTTGTTATTGCCAAGACAGTGTAAAACCCATAATTAAGCCATTTAGAAGATTGCTAAAATACCACAATCCGTTACTCAAATGGTCACCTTCCTATGAAATTGGTCAGCATCGAAATTCTTTCTTCACCTTATGTGTCTTTTAAAATACCAGCCGTGTTTACAATTTTTTTCTGCCACATGTCTAATGGTACATTAATTTTACTGTTAAAAATTTTAAAAAAAATCGTCACTTTTCGACATTGTGGTAACTTATACATTTGAAAACTACAAGTTATCACACTGTCGAAAAATTTCAGCTTGCACATGAAGCAATGTGTATATATATATATATATATACACATGAAGCAATGTGTATATATATACACATGAAGCAATGTGTATATATGTGTGTATATATACTGTTCGTATATATATATATATATATACACATGAAGCAATGTGTATATATATATATATATATATATATACGAACAGTGAAGTTGATATTTTTTTCTCAGTAGAGAGGGTGTTTCTCATAAGAAGCAAAAGTATGATAATTTTCTTTGAGTGGATGGACTCTACCAATGTGATTGTCCAATCTTTTTATCTTGTTTAGACTACTAGATTAAAAGAGTTAAACGAACTTATTACTTTGAATTAAATATCTATATATAAACCAAATTAGTCAATCGTTTCTTAGGAAAATGTTTGCAGAAGTTCAATAGTATTTTCAGTTTTTTTTTTTTATTAAAATATTGAATGTTATCTTTGACATGTTATCCTTGAGTGTTATATTTTGTTATAATTTGGCATGTTATCTTTGAATATCCGATACTAATTTCTACATAAAGGTTTTTCAAAGCACAGAAAATCTTAATTAAAAATATAATTTTCTTCCATTTTTATTGTTGCAATTGTAATATTTAGCAGTTTATTGCAACCTATAACAAGAAAAGTAACAATTTTCTTACCTTTCTTGTACTTTTTTTTTAACAAATCAAACAAGCTCAATTATAAACATAAATAGGAACAAAAACTGTTCATTAATTAAAGTAACCTTCACATATATGTCAAAAAATATAAAAATGCTTGATTTTTTCTAAAAAAATTTCAACGATATATGTGTTGCATAAAAAATTAATCTCTTCTTATAATATTAATTAAAAATTAATTTTATTCCGTTTTTGGCGTTGCAATTTTAATAGTTAGCTGTGTATAACAACGTATAAATGGAGAGGTAAATTTCTTTTCTTAACAAATCAAAATAAGTTACCAATCACAATTATAAATATAAATAGGAATGAAAATTGTTCATTAATAAGATAACCCTCATATTATTTTCAAAAGTATAAAAATGTTTGATTTTTTCTAAAAAAATTCATTGATATAAGTTGCATAAAAAATAAATTTCTAACCGTCTCTAACGAAATTGTAACAAAATTGCTTTACCCTAATTAATTATATCTCTCTGGCTCTTTCCAATATGGTCATTTACACCACGGTTGCTGTTCCATTGATATTCTTGTGTTTGAACATCGTTATCGATTAAATCCTAGATAATGACTTTGAGGGAGATTGTCTGCCACGATTTAATTGATCGCTAAAGTTTAATCTGTGTAATTAGAAAGATCTGGGCAGTGACCTTCCACTGACTTTAAAAATAGTTTTTTTAAACAAGATGTTGTTTGTTTTCTTGTTTCATATCCCACTTGGCTGGCCAAGCCCACACGCCCATACGTACTCATGATTGAAGGGGAAGGAAGCAGCTTCTGTTGTGATGGAGCTCCCGTAGGTAGAAGCCTGGCTTTTGCTTCGTGACGCTCTTACAGTCATAGGAACCGGGACCTACGGCTTAAAGTGGATTCGAACCACTACAAACATCCTGATTCGAACCCGAAACCTGTAGCACCGAGCGCCAGAGCGCTAGACACTCGGCCATTCAGGTCCCAAATTTGCCAACGGCACGCGGTGTTCCCAGGTGGTCACCCACCCAAGTACTGACCGCGTGATTTAACGGACTTCGGTGATCTAACGAAAACCGGTATATTCAGCATGGTACGGCCGTTTAAACAAGATGTTTTGATGAATAATGGAATTAGTTTAAAAAAATTTATACGTGGCTGACCTTTATTTTAATACATTAAATATTTCCTAACACAATTTTTGTGGAATCTTAAACAACTTCATCGAATCCATTCGTTGAGTACCCAGTTTTCTTTCTATACCTTTTTCTTCAATATTGCATTTTTTTAAAATATGTATTGTATCATGGCAATTCAGAAAGAGTACTCCCAATGATAGCAAACCGCAAAGCCAAGTTTTAATCTTTCTGGATTGGCCTTGAGACTAATGCAATATTTTCCTGTTTTTAGATTTACCATGCTAATGAAACTCCCAGTTATAAAAGCTTTTGAGTAGATTTCTGATATCGTTTTGTATCGAACTCTCATAGTTCAGATATCCAACACATTCAAGTATATCAAGTGTATTTCTATGAAATAAATGCAATTTTTAACGTTTAAGAAATCTACTTATTTATTTTATGTATAAAATTAATATTAAAGATACGTAATTAATAAAATATAAGCTGGTCTTTAAAATAAGTCTTTAAATCACCAAATACACTGATCAAAACATTTAATGAAAGTGTGAGTTTCAAATTTGAGATTAAAATTAATTATTTTAATTGTATTAATATTAATTTGTAAAGTTAAATTTAATTATTGTAATTGCAAAATTATTTATTTGTGACGTTAAATTTAATTATTCCTTTTTCTTTAATTCTTCTTCTTTTTTCATACAGCTATTATACTAATTCACGTATCAGTCATCAAAACATTTCTCTTCCATAGCTTATACCCAAAATCACATTATCTTTTAATTGTTTGAACAGTGTATGTGAACATTTAAGAAGGAATTTTTATAAATTGTTCACAGATGAAACATATATAAAACAAACTTCCGATTAAAAAAAATAAAATACACGAAACATATTTCTTTGCAATGAACGTTGAAAACCTTCTTGAAAAGGGTCATTTACGCCAAACTAACTCATCGATATTCTTGAGCTGGGGCATCTTTATCGATTGAAGACTTTTCGATAATGGCTTTGAAGACTTCTCCTATAAGTCTCCGTATTTTAATTGATCACGGAGTGTTTACTTGCGGAATCGGTGAGGTGTAAGCCAATATTATTTTCTAATTCTTAGAGAAATAAATTGATTTTTTTGACAGGATCTCTGACGAATAAGTGATATGAGTTAAATATTTTTATACATATGATTTGCGTATTACTTAAATGATTATTATATCTAGGAAAAATCTTATAATTTTAAAATCTATTTTCCTTATTGGATTTACTAGATATGCTAAAGAATCACTCTACGTAACATATATTATTTTTATTTTATGTTACATTTTAAAAGAATGTTTAATTGTTTAGTCAGTGAGGGAAGGAGATCTTATTCTCTAAATATTGAGGAATAAATTGATTTTCTTAATTATGTGTGTGACTTATAAGTGATATAAGTTAAATACATTTGTATATATATATTTGTATATATATATATATATATATATATATGATTGCATGTCACAATAATTATCAAATACAAGTAGAATTTTGTAAATTTAAAAATAAATATTTCACATTTTCAATTTAAATATGTTTCAGAATCATTCGATGTAAATGTATATTATTTGTATAGGCAATTGCATATTGTAAAGTTATATTACATAAATATGTATGTAATTACAATTATTTTGATGGTTCTTATAAATTTGACACGTATTTCTTACACTGAATTTGAAATATGACGGAGAATCACTAGACATTATTTATATCGTTTGATTTTATTTCATATAAAATTTGAAATATAGCATATTTAGACCACTATATTAGAAAAAAAAAACTATTGGTATTTAATATATTGCATTTAATTTCAAATCTATATCAGTCTAGACAGTAAAATGATGCTTTCGAAATTAAAAAAAAATAGATACATTATATTTTTTGTAAATATGAATGTTGTGATATCTAATGATATCGAAGAATAAATTTTTGCAATTTCAAGATGCGATTTTCATATTGGATTTAGATATACTAAAAAATCACTCGATTTAATATATATTATTTTTAGTTTATATTCATTTTAAATAAGTGTTTAATTGTATTGTCAGTGAAGGAGAATGATATCTTATTCTCTCAATTTTGAGGAATAAATTGATTTTCTTGATAAGGTGTGTGACGCATAAGTGTTACGAGTTAAATATTTTTATATGTATGATTTGTATGTCACATAAATAAATATCAAATATATAAAGATTCTTCTAAATTAAAAAAATATATATATTTGTTAGTTTCAATTGAAATATGTTGCTAAATAATTCTATGTAAATGTATGTATTTATTTATAAAAATAAGCTATTTTGTAAAGGTATGTTATTTATAATAAAGTAAAGCATGGGATATCGTAAGGTATATCATTTATTTTTAATTCCTATTTAAAATGAAATGATTATTTTTTTTTCTTTCTAATGCAACTGGCAAACACTTAGACAGCTTGGTCTTGGATGCCTTAAGGTAAGCGCTGCACAGACGTTACTCACTTTGCATTACCCAGGGGCGCGTGTAACTTGAAGATAAGCCACGGAGTAACAATGCCCCCGCAATGCTCTACGATCCTATTAGATCGGGACCTACGGTTTAAAGTGAATTCCGAACCACCACAAATATCCACGGCACCGTCGGGACTCGAACCTGAAACCTGTGGTACCGAGCGCCAGAGCGCTAGCCACTCGGCCATTCAGGCCCATGAAATGAGTATTTACTTGTGGAAACAGTGATGGGTAAATAGAGCATGATCTCTCAATGAACTGATTTTCTTCACAAAGCTTATGACTGATAAAAGATATATATTTTTAGACGTTTGTTCTTTCAATTATTTTGATGATTGTTATAAATTTAAAATGTACTTTTTATAATAAATTGGAAATATGATGGAGAATGACTAGACATTATTTATATTGTTTACTTTTATTTCATATTAAATTTGAAATATATCTTGTTTAGAACACAATATTAGAAAAAATTATCTATTGACATTTAATATATTAAACTTACTTTCGAATATAACAGTCTAGACAGCAAAATGGGCTTTCCAAATTAAAAAAAATGCCTTAGTATAATCTATATTTTTCGTAAATGTGAAAGTTGCAATATCTAATCATAATTTGTAGCCTTCTCCTTACTTTCTGAGTTACTCAGGTTTTCCACTTGATCATTCATTTTTAACTACATCGAGATTTTGTTTATATATTTCTGTTTTTTCTAGTATCTTTTTTAATTTATATCCATCTCTTTTTTCAACTTCCTTGCGGCATAATTTTTTTTTGTTGATCAATCACTTAGTGCAACCATTTCAGCTTTCTCTTGTGATGATAAAATGCTTTTTTGTGGCTTTTAGGTTTTAACATGCCTAAGTTTTTATTTATTTTTAATTGTTCGCATTCAACCGTTCTCATTCCATTTTTCCTTCTTTCAAATTCGTCTACGCTTTTTCCATAGTCAGCCATTTTGTCTAACTTACCATCCGCTTGTCTTTAGGTATTTCCAATTGTCGAGTAGAGGTATTACCCTCAATCACTCTATTTTTCTTTTAATCTTGGCAATCAATTAGACAATTTTTTAGGTTTTTTCTTCTTTCACTTCCGTTTACGAAGCCAATATCACGTAACTATTAAAACCCGTTATTTCCAAAGAGCATTCACCTCCGTCGATGACTAAGGAATTTCTTGTTGCTTTTTTTTGCAGTACTTTCCCTAAATTTTTTTGCTTTCTTGTTTGTTTATTGCCCTCTAACTGGTGCGTAACAGAGGAGTGCCACTAAAATATTTTGCGATTGCAGCAAGTATTCGTCTTCTTACCTATTTTTTATTTGTTTATTTATTTATTTAATATTTTTTTACATTATATATTTTTTTATTTATTTTGTCAATTTACGAGTTCAATTATGAAATTGATGTGGAAGAGCTATCAATATCAAGCTTTTGTAGCTCATTACGTACCATGGAAAATGAAGAGATCAATAATTTACAGCCATTTTTAACATTTCAGAAATAATAAATCTGATGAATGGAAAAACCAGCACTTGTTTAAGTTGAATTCTGAACTCATATCTTGAGAAGATAAACTTCTAGGCTGATTTGAACTTTTCCTTCACACTTTTCAACAAACACTTGCCGCCTTAGAAAATTCTCTTCTTGTTTCAAATTATTCCTGTACGTACGCAAAAATTTTAGAAAGTCATGATATGATTTCTTATACAATTCTCTGTAACTCTCCCAGACCACTTCAGATATATTCACCACTGAAAATGAACTATCGATGAGAAAATTGAAAGAATCTTTCGAAAGAAAAAAAAATCAGAAGTATATTAGAAATTTATTAAAAATGCGGAAAAGGAAAATATGCTGAGAAAAGTTTGCATTTAATAATAGGTCAATAGATATCATGCCCTTCTATCATTATTTTCTGATTTCCTCTTAAAATTCACCCTTGGTCCTATAAGTTATTCTATTGGGGATGCTGTTACCGGCATTTAATCAGATCGAAAAAAATAACGACTAGTCCTTTCGGAGGCCAGGGGTTTATTTTTTCAATACAAATGGCATCTGCCAAAATATATGTGTACACAATGATTATAATTTTGACACCTTCAAAACTTTCAATTTTCTTTTGAAAGACTTACCACCCTCAATGAATAAGTGACCACAGATATTTTTACATATCATATAAACAAATGAGAGGAAACCGTGTTTTTTACAGGGCTTGGCCCATTTACTTCTTACCTTATCCTCTCCACTATTCTGCTTCCCGCCCATTTACGTTATCAAAGCATTTGAAGAAACCTTCTGAAGCCAATATTAACCTACAGAAGATTAACATTTTAAAATGCAAAGCGTCGCAATTCAAAATTGAAGCTTGTTAAATTTTAGTGAAAATTAAACATTAATTATACCAGACTAAGTTCCAAATCGTTACTTCCTTCAATGTGATAGAAAAAAC